GCAACACTAAACCGAAAGAAGGAAGACAAGCAAGGAAGGAAGGTATCCAGAGGAATGACATGCAACATCGACCTATCCAGCTTTTTCGAGTCGATACATTCCTTGGGGGTTATTTTGGTCAATTTAAAACAACTTTGCAGCACTTGCTAGCAGTCACTATAGCCAGCAAAGAAACAACCGTCAGATGAATCGAAGGCTTCTCTGATTCTAACGTAAATTTTAGACCTTTTTGGTGTGGTGGTGCGAAGTGATGCAAACCTCATATTACAGGTGAATGTGTAGTAAGCATCACTGGAAGACAATTAAGTAGAAGCACTCGGGCGGGCCAGTAGCTTGTTAAGTATATAGAAGAATAACTAATCTTTCTGATAACGTGCGTTAAGCTTGTTGTATCATCTGCAAGAACGATAGAAGTGACAGTGCTTGCCAACATCCTATCCTTGTCATGGCAATTATCAGCATTATCAGATCCCGCCGCTGCTCCGCTGTTACATTAATTCTAGATCGTTGTGGTTGTCTTCGTCACTTACGTCGCTGCAGATACTACATGTACCAAGAAAACTGAATAGTCCAGGCGGAGCTGGGAGAAAAGCTGTCAAATTGTACCGTTTCTTCTGACTGTGTGTAGCTGTTCGAGAGTTCTCAGAGGAGTGACGAGCGTAGCGACGCGACTTGCCTCTGCCGACTTGGTCTCAACCCAATCTTTGAGGAGCAAATGATTCAGATATATATTGCTGTATGAGATTTCATGGCTTGAAATGCCGATGATTTCCATGCACGTAAGTACGAAAAGAAAACAGAAAAAGGTAGAAGGGAAGAAGGACGTTCATGTCCATGCTATCAGCCGTAAACAGCATTCTCTTACCTCACAAGTTGTGAATGGGAGGGGGCGGGACATTTTAAAATTTTTACCAGACTTCTAGGTTGAACACTGAAGGCAGAGAGTAGAACATTTAGTGTTTACTATTCGCGGTGGTTTCCAGTGACCTGGTCGTCCTGTTCAATGCCTTCTGAATCCTTTGACAGTACTGGGCACATTTATGGAGCAAGGTCCCTCCCAAACACTGTGTTATGTTTTGATAGGAATACAAGACTTCCGGGGATTAGGTAGTGATTCGTTTCTTTGACTTTATTATCTTGGTAGGTATTCTGCAGCATCTCGGAGAATACAGTTAAGCATATCAAGCAAGTTGAAATCTTGGCACATCTGCCCCAGCTTGCGCAGAGATTGACTTCAAACTGCGCCTCATGTTCCAAAATCCGGCTTCCGCAATCATTCAGTGCCTCTGAAGTCTGGTGACCGTGCTCAAGGATCATCGCGTTCATCTGAAGCTGACAGGGGAATAATCTGACTGACTCGGCGTCCACCGGATGCCATTGACTCGGGAGCAGCCCAAATGGTGACGATCTTCAAATGAGAAGCAGGCAAACCCTGGGCCAATCTCGAAATCCCTTCTATTCACATCCCTGCAGGAATAAACTGTTCCTTCGATGCCAAGACGACTTTTCCTAGATACACACATCCCTTTAATACAATATTGCTTAAATCCTACCAAATCTGCACGCCACCTGGTTGCCCTAAGAAATCAGTTATGCACGGGGATATAAGGGTATCTATATGAACAATGAATTAGAAGATAGCCATGGTCACGTTGCCATCGCCGATTTGAACTGTGCTGTTCCGACTAAGGCTCTATCAGTATGTGCTTTACTGTGTGAAAAGTCGGAGTCGAGTGGTCCAAGATCAGCCAAGATCCAACTTGAAGATGCGGATAGAAAGATCGCTGTAAGCTCTGGGTTTCCGAAGTGATAGATGAGACGTACCGCGCAATTCTAGTCTCATAAGGTCCCTATGCTGTCACAGGGCGATATGAGGTCTCTCAATTACACATGTCATGTCCGCGCAAATGCTTCCTGGACGAAATGACTGACGGTTGTTGCACGCATATCCATAGGATGGACGACGGCAGAATGGCCCAAGATACACCCACCCAAAGCATGTCTTCGGTGGTCCAGATTTTCGTGCCAACTTTCATTGCTCAACGGTTATTACGAAAACTTACTCTGCATGTCCACTGCATAGAACATGAAGCACCACACCTTTTGGACTTCAAGTGGTCACACATCCTAGCGCAAAACTGCGATTTTTGTGTAATGCATTTCTGAATGTCCTACGTTGAGTACCAGGACGCAGGAGTGGGACCTTGTTCTCACGTCTCCGCCGAAAAGCACTCGTCTCAGGAGATTCAGAAAAAGTATTTCGCCGGATCTAATCCAGCATACGTGCGGCTCGAATCAGAGGTATGGGCACAATTGCTTTTTTCGACTCGCGATTGGATCCGAATGATCTATGTGCTCTTTTATTGGTCGTTTTCCGTGAAACCAGGCCACCGCCATTGATTACCAGCCGACGGGATGATGGAGTGCTCGCCATCATGCGAATGACTTAGAACTTGAATCACTTATCTCAAACCTGTTCGGAGTCCGATCGTTCGCCGTACCGATTTCAGACTGGTCTTTACGAAATTCAGCCATCAAGTCTTTGTCTATAAATATTGCGGCCTCGCTGTATTTTCTGAGGTGTGTTTGTACCCATCCCGTCATCCATCGTCTAGTATCACGACTCGTCATTCTTTTCTTCCTACGAAATATGCAGCTCTCGACGTTCTTTATCTCTGTCATTATGCCCTTGGCGTGAGTGCTTTTTCACGGTAACGTCACATACATCCTGCTAACTCTGACTAGGGCAATGGCCGACACTCATGCCAGCTGCAAGTGCAACGGAGATGATCTGTGTACTTAAAGAGCATGCAACGGCTATGCATCTGGCCAGAAGTTCTTCAACATTCCGACGAACGCTGTTGGACCGCCAACTTCCCAGCCCAAGGATGGGGTGAGTCGAAAAAGCCGAATGATTTGAATGGACAAATCTAACGAATGGCACTCCAGAGATGTTATTCTATCTTCAGTGATAACACGCAATTTCTTGTTTTTGAAGGCCTTGGTGGAAATGAGTTCAAAGCTGAGTGCCTGAAGACTTGCAATAGCGGCTCCTCATGCTCGTAGTTGATTAAAGGAAGATCGACTTGGCGGACAAATAGTATGCTTCTCAGCAAGCCGGATTGAAAACGGCGTTTCTAGTTACGCAGATTCATTTATTTCATTGTACAACTTATCCGTGGCCCTCAAGAGTCTGATCTATGACTCCATAGTCAATAGATCGAACGTATACCTGTTTGAATTAGGTTTCCATAAGATGCGACAGAAAGATTGATAGCAGTGAAGTCTCCGTACCAGAAAATCTTCATCCCATCATCGACTTGCAATCAGTTGGTTCTAATAGAACCATTTTAGTCACAGTATGAGACATCGACATCCAGTGGTCCCTCCTTAGAGTCCATTGACTACTGAAGCGACTGTACCCGAATATCTTCCCAGACTAGAGTTCTATCATCAGCCAGGTTCTTGGTCAGGCGGACTACTATGTTAACTTTGTCATTCAGTTCGATGCTATGTTTCATCTCATTGTTCTTGAGTATCCGTCCTTACTTGTTGCTCTGATCGTCTCTGTTACCAGCCATGCTGTCTGTGTTGGGACATTTGCTTTCCTTTTCACTTCTGTTCATATATTGGCCTCAATAGTGCCTTCCGTCAAACGTACGCGGCACGTCTGTTGATAAATAGAATCAAGTGGGACTTAATGTCTTGCTTTTATCATTCTTTGAAGCTCTGCTCTGAGTATATGAACTTGGAATACCGCAATCCTGTCACATTGATAATCCTGATGAGCACGTACAATATTCATTTGATCACTCAAGACTGAATGCGTCATATACTTGACTGTTGGAGTCACGTAGTCTTAGTCTGCCCCTCAGTATCTTACTTTGCCTATTCCAAGTCAGAGTATGCAGCCGTGGCAGAATTCAGAGTGAGGAATTTCTCGATAAACTGAACGGAACTCGACTCCATCAATCAGAATAAACCATAAAGGTGTGTCATGACTACAGCCTACTTCCTCGTCAGTGCCTAGTCAGAATGAAGACTGGGGGCAATCGGAGTCAGCTTTGTACCAAAGAAATAACACAGCGCTTAATCACAGCGCTTAATCACGATTTCCTCTGTAGAAACTCGTCAAAGACCAAGCATTCGACCGACCGGTGCCGAATATCTACTTATGGGGACAATTTTATGAATCAAACTTATCATTTATCGGTGTTGTTCGCAGGTTGTACCTGGAATGGTTTCCGGAGCGAGATCCGTTTACTCTACGGGGAACGAATCCTAAGTCCGGATCCGCGCACGTCTATGCGCTCGGGTAACTACTAGGCTATCGGTTAGCATAAAGTGAGAAGGCAGGGAGAAAGCTCGGGGAGGTAGGCGCAGGTAGCAGCGGTGATGAGAGTCTCGGCCCCGGCCCTTGGGCTTTTGCTCCGGGAGTTCCACTGATGGCTTCAGTGTCCATATTGTCAGATCTAATAGGAATGAAACACACAACAACATAGCTTGTTTGGCGAATTGACAATCCAAAAGATCTTGACAAGAAAAGCGACTACTTGGGTCAACATCTAATTACAGTTAGGAAGCTGGGACGATCACGTTGCCAGTCTGGCCATACAAAATGCTAGTTCATGAGTACCTCGTAACTGCCGGACCTGAGGAGCTCGAGAAACATGACGCGGGTGACAGCAGAGACATGTGACTTGGAAGGATTCACGTATGTGCATGATCAAAATAGTATGATATTAACTTCGCCAGCTTCAGGAGCTTCGAATATCCGCCTGGACATCAGGGGTTCGCTCAACTCTTTCCTCGAATGTAATCCTTCTTCTTCACATGATGATACAGGCCCAGCTGTCCAACTCCTATTGCAAATGCTTCATCTTGATGCAACGCTTCGCTGAATGTAATCTTCCGGCCAATGTAATCAACGCTTCAAATCCGCAAAACCTTTAACGCCGAACAAATGCAGGACCAAGCTGTTTCTGGTCATCCAAAACGTCTCAGCACGACTTGTCAAGAACACTGCGAGGAGTTAGTGACGATGAAAAGGCGTCCGAGAGTCCACGGAACTAACCATTGCTGCGTTTGACACCTCCCGTTCGTCGGGTTGGGGTACTGGCCCGACTTGGGATCACACTTGACAGTCTTGCCTCCCGTACAAGTCGCGCCGATGAAGTTGCCCCATTGAGCGAATGTCGCCGAGTAGTCGTCGCCGTGCGCTGTCCAGGCGCGCCAGATGTCGAAGTTGCCGGTAAAGGTCGAGAGGCCGGCTGCGCAAGCGCCCTGGCCGGCGTTCGTCGGCGAGCCGGGTTGCCAGCTCGCACAATCAGGCCCCATGATGGCTACCAGGCCAAGACTCGCTTCATTGTATGCTTCGTCGGCGTTTGCGGCGCAGACAGTCACTTGGCAGTGTACTTGTGTGCATCCTGACGCCAAAACTGATCGGCACTGGAAGAAAACCAGCAGGAGAAGGCTGAGGCTGCATCTCGGTCAATTCCTGTACCATGCCAAGCCCAGTTGCAAAAGAAACACTTACAGCTTGAAAGACATTGACATTGAGCTTGAACTCATGTTGTGGAAGAAGTCGGTGTTGGCCGAGTTTTGGCTTTTCTCTATGCTCGGTATCCCAGGTTGTTTCGAAGGTGTGAAAAACAGGACGTGTTGGGTTCCCTTGGCCAGTGCGACGAGCTCTGATCATGCAATCAATTGAACTCTTAAAAGACAATCGGGGAAATTTGCGACACCTTAAGGGAATCCTGGCTTGAGATTTCATCCCACGTTTCCCGAATCCATCACTAATACAAATAAGGGGCACGACTCGCTTTGGACTTCCTTCAGCCATTCAAGAAACTGAGGGATGGCACGATTGCTTTTCGTCATGGCGAACTTCTAAACTTGTCAAAAACCGAGAAAATGAAGGAGCACTTGCCATTCCAGCACGTTTTCTGCCTGGGCCAGTAAGAACGACCACGTGGGTGGAATTTTCACCACGTTGCTCCTTGATACTGACTCGGTCCGGAGGCTGTGTGCGCTTTTTCAGTTTTGAAGTGCTGGGAACACCCTCACATTAAATACATTATATAGCACTGGTGACCCACATCAGAGGATAGCTAATTAAAACCCCCAATGTGCATGAAATTTGTGACAGTTCCGATCAACCGTGAACTCCATCGATCTACGGTGGGCACGGCTGAACCGGCACCAATGGCAGCTGTTGCAGCACACATGTGGTCGAATTGTTCGTCGCTGAGCGCAACATGCAACTCGTGATGCGACTCAGTTTTGCCGGCCCGTACCGTGGCCCTGTGGTAGGGCGTTGAAGATGGCAAGTTGTCGACGATGTTAATATGCTGGTACCAGCATCGCGGTTCGCTTCAGCAAGATCCGGCGATCTCTCATCGTTCTTTCCCCAGTCGTTCGCTTGATACCCCTCATTCGTTGCTTTGGAATTTCGTTCTTTTTCCAGCCTGTCTCTACCTTGTTACAACGATGGTTAACGTAGCGTTTGTTCTTCTGGCTGCCACTGCCACTGCCTCTCCTACCTCACTCTGGATCCGAGACACACCAAAGTGGGAAGACGTCAAGTGCACCGATACCAACATCACAGACGCCAAAGTCGCATCCAATATCCGCTGGCAAGCTGCCGACGCCAACACCTCTTGGGACGCTGCCGTTGCTGCGTGGCATAATTATACACCTGGAGATGGCCAAGTTCAACTCAAGTTCCCGGCCTTCATCAGCGACTTCTACGGCGGCCCTGAAGGATGGGATTGCCAAGATCCCGTCAATACCCCTTGTTCAACGACGGTTCAGTGCGCTGCCACCAAAACACCGGCAGGGTATGTTACACACCTGTCTCCTTCCAAAGTTACGCAGATACGTTTGGCTGACTTTCCATACAGGTTCCTCGTTCTCAACTCCTTCGCGAAGTTGCACGACGTGAGATAAATCATAGTCTGTTTCAAAGTCAACCGCTGACCGGTCACAAGATCTTCCAAAAATATCATGAAGCGCTGCAAGATGCCCAGCTCAGTCTTGCTGCCGTAATTGGAGACTTCACCGGAGCCTTTGCCCCCCAGTTGAAGGCTCAGGATGATTCAACCTTAGTCAAGATTGTGCTTGATGTGTTGCAATTTGGTATTGGTCTGTCTTCTGCAGGACTTTGGAACATTGGTAGGTCTCTCTCGCTCTTATGACCCAAAGCTTTTTGCTGATTTGAGAAGTTCTCCATGACGCCGCCATTTTCGCTACCAGCGCCTACAGAAGTTTCGCCAAGGATACCTTCAACAGCGCCATTAGTTCTTCATTCGCCCTAGCCAAGGATAACACCAAGGCGTACGTCGTAATACTTTGCCGATGTATTCCCAGAGGGCGATGCTAACACACTACATCAACAGCGCGAAAGACTCCGCCAGCGTCCAGAACGATCTATCGTCCGCCATGGGCACTCTATTCGACGTATGGAAAAAGACTCAGAACGATTACTTGTCAGAAGTCTTCTCTGGGTCAAACAGCACCACGAACAACATGCTTTCGGGACTCATCCGCGAGGGCATGATGAACATGGTCCCTGACGACATTAACCTCTCAGAAATGAAGGATAACGTTCAGAAGATCTTGCTTGGACAGATGATTCCCATTGCCTGGTCTGTCGCGCCGGCTGGGTTCCAACCTTTTGTGCTGTAAGTCAAGCTTTTCTCTACCAAGTATTCGTCAACTTACACAATCAAACAGTAAGACGGGAGATGCATGCTCAGACACCATGCCCAAGACACTAGACCCATACATGGACGAAGATACGCACAAGAAGTCGGGTGTTTGCTGGAACGGAAACCAATTCTACGTTCTTACCATTGGAACGTACCGTGTCGACGTCCAGGCCGACACCCCCGGCCTTCCCAACTCAGACCCGCCCTTCCAGCAGCTTGCGGGTGGCACACACGACATTTTGGATGGAAAGAGTTGGGGTGGCATCACGCTGGACGACATCGTGATCAGTTCCTACAGTGGCTATCTGGCCAACGGCAACCGCAACGGCTACAACATGTCCTTGGATACCAGCAGTGGACCTGTCGACGAGCTCATGCTTTCGGGTGGTGTGCGGACCCCTGGGTTCTTCTCGCTCCCTGTCTGCACGAGCATTTGGAACACCCTGATGAATGTTGCTGGGAGCATAGAGGGCAAGAACTATTACCCATGCGGCGTTGTTGTTGAGAAGACGTATCCTCAGTAATGCACGGCGGATGAGCCATACTGCAGGACAAGTGGCTTCTAGAATTAATGACAAACCTTTATGTTCATTCAAGCTGATTCCGTGATTTGACGTTATGCCACAAAGTTTTGCTTCCCGCTAAATTGCTGAACTAGAAATGCATAGAGGCTGTGGTAGACATTTCGAGCTTGCGGTCCTCCGACTAGAGACGACGGTCTTGGTGGGATACGAGTCAACGATCTCATTGCATAATTCTAAAGATGGAATTCCTCAGCTTTCTCTTGCCAATATCTAATCCCGGCCAAATAAGGAGAGTATTGGTGAAAGGGTCCTATTCAACGCATAACTCAACAAGGGTTGAGAGTGTATTATTCCACTGTTATCTTCGTCCGAAGCATTAAGGAAAGGCGTCACTGACATCGAACGCGCTGTCAGACGTTGGACATCATAATGTCATTCCAATCTACGTACCCTAGACATCTATTATGTAGTAAACATTGAATCCCCCCATGAAATCTACAGCCCGTTATGAGAATAGTTCCGCTTTAATGCAAGAAAGAAACAGCAAGAAAGAAATGAGTCCACCCAAATGCTATCCCGAGATCTACCCGTGAAGGTGGTACAATCTAAGATGCTGCAATAGTGCGCGTGTGGTATCAGAGTGATGAGGTAAGAGAGATGAGTTGAAGTAGAATGAGCTTTGCTCACTCCGCCTTCTTGGAGGTCTTGGTACGGAGCTTCATGAGGAGGTAGACCAAGGCGTAAGAGCTGATAGCGAAGATGACGACGATGGCAGCATCGCGCCAGCCATAGTAGTACTCCTTGAGGTTCACGGTCTGCAGGTAGTCGCTGCCGTCACGGTACTGGCAGACCTTGCATCCGGAAGTTGCGTCAGGGTTGATGAGATTGCTGGAGGAGCCCATGCCCATCATGTAGTCGGCCAGGTAGTTGGCGCAGGTGGTGCCGTTGGGAGGATCGAAAAGGGCGAACTCCCTCTCCTTGCAGGTGACTTCCGTGCCCCAGATGTCGAAAACAAGCATGCTGCCCATGAGGTAGTTGAAGGGGTTGAGCCAGTACCTATGCAAGCAGTCAGTGAAATGCGAAGGAATAAGTGGTAGGAAGGGAGGTTTACTTACATCCAGTACTTCCAGAAGCTTTGGAGTTGATCGTATGGTACGAGAACACCGCAGAAGGAAACCAGGACTCCAATGAGCAGCGGGTTGACCAGGGAGGCGAAGACAGCGTTGGGTGCGTAGGCGGCAATGAATTGACCGATACCAGTGTACACAAACTCGTACATGAGCATGACGAAGAAGGTGGATCCAGCGCGGGAAGACTCAGAGGGGAATCCGACAGTGTAGTACCAGCAGACGTAGTAGAGCACGGCGCAGATGATGAGGTACGGGATCTCAGAGACGATGAGTCCAGTGACGAAGGCAACCCAGGAGTACATCTTGGACTTCTTCTCACGAGTCTCGAAGATGTCACGGCGGTCGATGAAGAGAGGTTGAACTTGTGCCAACACACCAGGAGCGACGAAGATGAAGTTGAAGATCGTGAAGAGACGCATCTGGAGGTCGCCAACGGAGTCGCCAATCATCCAGAAGGAGAAACCGTTGAAGAGGGCAGAGAAGATGTGGAGAGCGAACTTGTTGTTGACGTAGTCGATGTTGCGGTAGAGGGACACGTTCATGCGATGGGTGACAATCTTGGTCTGGTCCCAGAGAGAAAGAGCAAACTCGTGACCATCGTCGACGGTACCAGGAGGCTTGGAGGCGGCGTCTTGGATCATGTGGTCGAGTTCCTTGACAACAGCCTCATGCTCAGGAGAAGACAGCCAAACCTCGTTCCAGTCCTTGCCCTTGGACAGGTGGCCAGAGACGACGTCGATCATGTGCTCAGCAGGGTTGGCCTCCTCGGGGCAGGGGGCACCGTATCGACCAAAGTAGGAGCGGATAGTCTTCGCGTTGTCGCCAATGTCGCCGAAGTAGACAGTCTTGCCGCCCTTGGCGAGAAGGAGCAGGGTGTCGAATTGGGAGAAGAGCTGGGCAGAAGGCTGATGGATCGTGACGAGAACGGCCTGGCCTGCATTCGCAAGCTTGCGAAGGAAGCGAACGGTGTTGTA